GCTGCTCGCTAAAATAATATTATTTTCTTGACTATCACATCTTTTCTTGTATATCACATTTATGTTGTACGAAAAGTTGCAATGGTTTTTCTTATGCTTTTCTGTTTTCCTTTCTCATCTTCTCATCGCGAGATCGGTCATTTTAAATTTCCAAAAAAATCAAATTCACGTTCTCGAATATACACGCCTGAAGAAGGTGACCATTTGAACGCGTGCACATAGCACGGAATAGAACCGCACGCTGTGGACATACCGACATGTCGCTCGTGGACTGGCTGCGTAGTTCGAATGTGTACCACTCGTGGAGACATGCGCTAGTTTACGGGGCGGAAAAGTGATTATACATTCTCTTATGGACCTGGCCGCTCTCAGGCTTCTTTCTGATATAAGTCTATGGTATAAACAGAAGTAATGAAATCTTAGGCCTGGTTTATGCCGGCAAATAAAGCCCCTTGCACATTGAAAGGAATAGCGATAGCAATAGAAATAACACAGTGTTTAACACAGAATTCCAACTCGTCGGAAATTTTATCGCTATTGCTTATTTCGATATTCTGATCTGCATTGATACATGTGTATTTTAGTAGGTTAGATTTCGCTGTTCCTACCTTTATTTTTAAATGTAAACTTTTTAAAACTTTTGTTATTTCTATCGCTATCGCTATTCCGTCCATTGTGCAAGAGGCTTAAGGCCTTGTTTTGGCCTTGTTTATGCGGGTAATAACTGTTAATTTATGCCGGAATTGGTACAGTTCAACTATAAGATTTCAATGTTTCTGTTATATTCTGTTATGCTTATGTTAATAAACAGAAATATTAAAATCTTAGGCCCGCATAAACCAGGCCTTATAATTAAACATTACCGGTTCCGGCATAAGTTAACAGTTATTGCCCGCATAAACCAGGCCTTAGGGCGATGTCCCATTGAGCGGAAATTTATAGCGGAACGGAATGTGCGGAACCGGCTCGACCAATCGTAACCACAGAAAAAGCGAAGGAAAGAAAACGGAATGGCTATGATTGGTCGAGCCGGTTCCGCACATTTTGTTCCGCTATAGATTTCCGCTCAATGGGACGTCGCCCTTACTCTGGCTGTGTTCGGGGAGCGCGCTATTAGCACTGGGTGCGTTCAGACAACTCAACAGTTGCACAACAGTTGAGAGATAATCACTTCTGATTGGATAATACTTTTGGAACCGATTCAGATTTTGAAGAATAGTCCTATCATAAGTTATGATCTTTCAATCGTTGAGTTGTCTGAACGCACCCACTGTTGCATCGTTTAATCTTTATTGCTCATTGGTCTAGTTTCCACCGAAGCATTAATTCACACCTAATGCGACGTAGAATCAAATTTAAGTCGATGGAAACCTGTCAAATTGCGCTGATTTCGCTTTCGCTTCGATCTATACGTACTCTACTTCCAATGGAAACGGAACACTAAATTTAATCCGTACCGGAGTGAAACCGAATTGAGAGTTTCGGTGGAAACTAGACCGTTATTAGATGTAAAACAAAGATAGAATGGGTGCGTTCAGACAACTCAACAGTTGCAAAACGGTTGAGAGATTATCACTTCTGATTGGATCATACTTTTGGAACCGAATCAGATTTTGAAGAATAGTCCTATTATAAGTGATGATCTCTCAACCGTTGAGTTGTCTGAACGCACCCAATGATGACAACTGCGCTGATAGCGTGCTTTTCGAACGCAGCTTCTATACTGCCATACTTCCATTGTAGACTAGCCATAATGGTTACTACCTTCATTGTAGACTAGCCATTAGACCTGTTCTACAATACAGTCGTAAGCTGTAAGTTGTAAGAAATTGACCAATCACAGACCAATCACAAAAGAATGATCGATTGTGATTGGTCAATTTCTTACGACCTCCGACTTACGACTGTATTGTAGAACAGTCCTTAAAGCTTATGTCACACTACGGATTGGGATTGAGATTAGATTGAAATCTGACCAATTAGAAAAAAGAAAACCAATCCTAAAGTTTAGTGATCTTCTCTCTGATTGGCCAAATTCCAATCCAATCTCAATCTTAATCCGTAGTGTGACATAGGCTTAAGACAAGGGTTACAACCGTTTGTTGGCGCTATTTACCGCTAGGGGAAAACCACCCTTCTTGCTTTTAGACCCCCGCGCAATGCAATTCGCGAATTTTTGATGTGTGCTGTGTGTACCACCACAGTTCTAGATAGGTGGTTAGATGTGCATCGGCCGGTCGAATATAAAAAAAAAAAATCTCTCGCAAAATCTCTCATTAGTCGCAAATAAATTCGGTATATATATATAACAAAACGAGCGTATAAATGCATTATTCTTGATAATTGGAAAAAACGTGTGGCCGACCCGAAGGTAAGTTGCTGGGGAAAAAAAAAACGACGTTTCTGCTCTCGCGCTTCGCGAACGAATATCGCTGCTGCAACCGTAACGCGAGACGTATATCTCCGTAAAGTTTTTTTTTTTAAGAGAAATCGCGTTTTCTCAACAATTCCGTCGCTCGTAGGGGAAGAAAGCTCCGAAACGATCGTTTCTCGTACGGCTGGCGAGATTGCGAATGGTAAATTATACAACAATTCCGCGGAGCGGATCCCACGGAGCGGATCCTCAAGTGTTCGAGACTCGCGTCCGAACTCCGTTTTTCGATCACGGATTTTTTCTCACGACACTCGCGACCGTCGCGACGCGATAAATTTTGCACCGAATTGTAAATAATTGTTTTTTTTTTCTATTTTTTTTATTTTTATTTTTTTTCCATAATTTTGGTCAGTAAAATTTTTTACGTGCAGTTCCTTAATTTATACACTTGCGCAATTTGACAAGGTTATGCTTGGAACACCTTTGTCCGATGCTCAAAAGTTTGACGCTTGTCTGACATTTGTTCACATTTAAATCTCGAACTCTTAAGATTGAAGATTTTAATCAATTTTTTTTTTTTTTTCTTTACAACGAGTATAGTAGATGCGAGATTGTGTTGTTGTTTACTTTTTTGTAGATGTCGAGCGAAAACGACAGCGAAATGGATTGCTCGGATTCCGATTCCGGAGATCCGGGTTACGAGGATTATTACAATATTCAACCGTGGGGTGGTGAGATTGACAATGACGTTGATCCAGAGCAAAATAGAAGAGACATAGAATACGCGGTGTTCGACTGTTTGAGAGTGGAAGAAGTTGAGCGACTTTTAAACGAGAGTGTGGAGAAACTCAGCAACAGTCTTCACATTACGCCGTCTCTAGCCAAAGTGTTGTTACATGGACATAATTGGGCGTCGCAGGATATTATCATAAAATATCGTATCAATGCTTCCAGTTTGTTGATCACTTCTAAGATCAAACCCATTCCCGAACAAGTGCCAGGATTGAAGAGTCAGAGGGGTGGTGTATGTTCGGTTTGTGTTACGGTTTCTTCTGCAGATAAGTTTTCCACACTGACATGTGGACATTCATTTTGCAAAGACTGTTGGTGCATGCATTTCGAAGTACAAATCACACAAGGTATATCCACTGGTAAGTGACACATCGCAAACAACAACAGTCTTTAAGCTGTTAATTTTTAATCAAAAAAACTTTTATTGATATGTAAATGTTCATCTCGCAGGTATAAGCTGCATGGCACAAGATTGCGATGTTTTAGTTCCCGAGGATTTTGTTCTCTCCTTACTGACTAAGCCTAACATGCGAGAAAGATATCAGCAATTTGCCTTCTGTGATTATGTCAAATCTCATCCTCAACTACGCTTCTGTCCCGGTCCAAATTGCCAAATAGTTTTGCGCTCAAAGGAACAGAGAGCTAAGAGAGTAATGTGTTCATCATGTAAAACTGTATTCTGGTAAATAATCCTCATGTCTCAAGATAACGGTGAGTGTAATATACGTGTCATGTGTGATAGCAATGTTGTTACTTACAGTTTCCGATGTGGCATGGACTATCATGCACCTACCGATTGTAATACAATTAAGAAGTGGTTGACAAAATGCGCAGATGATTCCGAGACGGCTAACTACATTAGTGCTCATACCAAAGATGTGATTATCTCTGAGATGCGCAACGCGCTCATTTTATAAAATAATCACCCAACAAAAAATTGTGCGTGAAATCAAATTTATATTTTTTTTTCCAGTGTCCAAAATGCCATATTTGCATAGAGAAGAACGGCGGCTGCAATCACATGCAGTGTTACAACTGCAAACACGACTTCTGCTGGATGTGCCTTGGCGATTGGAAAGCACATGGCAGCGAGTACTACGAATGCTCGCGTTACAAGGAGAACCCCAATATTGCGCACGAAAATGTTCACGCTCAAGCGAGAGAAGCTCTGAAGAAGTATCTTCATTATTACGAGCGGGTGAGTGTCTATAGGATATCTTACATACAACGGACTTAATAAGGACTTTGTTCAAGATTTCTATTATTTGTGTTTTGTATTTTGCTTTTGCTTTAGTGGGAAAATCATAGCAAGTCGTTAAAGTTGGAAGAGCATACGTTAGAAAGTATCAAAATGAGGATCAATAATAAAGTAATGAACGCGAGCGGTACATGGATAGATTGGCAACATCTGTTCGAGGCGGCGTCGCTTTTAGCGCGATGCCGTTATACTTTGCAGTATACGTATCCGTATGCTTATTACATGGAATCCGGACCACGCAAAGAACTGGTAAAGATCTCGCAATATAAGTTGTTATTTATTAATCCTTCACAGCCTGACGGCCAAGAAGGGAACTTGGTTACATTTCTCTTACAATTTTCTTTCTACATATATCTTATCCTATTACATATCTCATATTTTTGCGTACGCATGTTATCTCTGTTACCCTTCCTGCTCTGACCTGCTCTGTCTAATCTCTTCTCTTCTTCTTTATTTCTAACCTACCCTTTGAAATATATACTTTACAACCTACAAAGTATCACAGCTTTGGTTTGGTTTTAATTTACCCAAGGTTGGGTAAGTTAAATTTTTTTTTTTATTTAAGTTAAGTTACAGTTAAAGGTCTTAAAAATTTTATTTAGTTAAGATATAAGTTAATATCCATAATGAAATTAATTGATTAAAAGTTAAGTTGATAAAAAAAATAATTAACAAGTTAAAAGTTAAATTTTTTTTCATGATTTTAGTGTTTTAGTCTTACAAATAATTACAAACATTTGCAGTGTTTTTAATCTTACATATAATGGAAAAAATAAATGTACACTTTTTATTTAGAAATATAC